TAATATAAATATATATAAATATATTTTTAACATGCACAGGCCAGCCTGTAAGAAGTACTGAATTGGAAGTAAGTAGTACTTCAACAGAGAAAGTCACACAATTTGCATACCAAGTATTAGACAGGTTTTAAATATTGATCAAATAATTTAGATCAATTAATTTAGCCATGCTCTGAACAGGAGGTTGGAGTAGATGGGCTCCAGAGGCCCCTTCCAAGCTAAATTTTTCTGTGATTCTGTAATTGGTTGACAGTAGTTAAAAGGGGTAAGTAACTTTTGCTTTTCCATTAAAACAAAATAACATATGCAACAAAGCAATAAATAATGTCAGTCATATAAAGCCTTGCTACTTAGAAAAAAAAAAACAGTCCCAGTCTCTGTATATAGCAAAATACAACAAAGCCATATTCTAAATTAGATAATGACTTTAAATGTTTTCTGAGTTTCTGTGATGTTTATGCAAAGTTGACAGAGTATGAAAGAACTTTTTAAACTGATTGGCGAAAGATTTGAAGTTCAGAATTAAGTTTTGTTCTTTTCTTTTTTTTTTAGGTACAGACATATCTAGTAAGAAAGAAACCACAAATGTAAGTGCAACCATTTTAATCCTTAAGTTTATAAGCATTATGTAATGAAAAATGTCTGTCTTCTATTTAAATTAAATTGTTCTTGCCTTACTTGCTTCCATTTTATTTCTTCAGGAAGATGAAGCTGAGAAAGCAGAAATGATTGTGCGTAAAAGGGGAAGAAAGCCCAGGCGTTCTCTGGTTCAATCAGAGGAAACTGGTAAAAACATGAAACTGTGCTACTCCTAACACAATGAGAAGATCTCACTGTGCCTTTCTGTTTACTAATAGCAACAAGATAAGCTTTATTCAATTTTCCTTTCTTAAGGAAAAATCATTGAGTTACAGCTAGTGTAAATATTATGTAAATATGTGCAAATTGCTGTAATCTCATGTCAGAATTGCTACATCCCAGATGCTTCTATAAAACCTCATGAATTTTCTATGAATTCTGGCTATGAGCTGCATAAGTAAACTATGGTGAATGTGTTAGCAAGATTAAGTTAAACAAGTGTGAATTAAAAATGTTGAAGCATAAAGGAAATGGAAAATTACTTACTTAAAATGGGATTTGTGAATAGAATACCTTTTCTAAACTAAGTGTCCATATCCTTTTGGAGGGCTTTTGGAAAATTATAGCACATATGTAAAATTTTACATGGACAGAAACACTGGAGCCAGAAAGAAAACGTCGGAAATTAACGTCTTCTGAAGACGAACTAAAAGAGCAGGAGGAAGGTGAGGAAGAAGAGGGTGAGGAAGATGATGAAGCTCATTCAGGGGCCACAACTAGATCAGCCACAAGATTAGAGGCTCAAAGGTAACTGTGTGTAGAGACACAAATAGCAGACTTTTTTCTACATCGTTCTCAGTTGTTGTGGGGTTTGTTTGGGGTTTTTTTGTTGCTTGCTTTTTTGCCTTTTTTTTTAAAATGGATGAGAGCTTCCCAGATAGTTTTGGTTCTAATTCTAGTACTGCTCTTCTAGGGATGAAGAGACAAAAGGGGAGGTTGGGAAATTGTTAGGGTCTCAAAAGACATACTTGAATATGTCAGAAGGTAAGAATTGATCCTGCTGGCAGTCTTCATCCTAGTGATGTCTCAGAAGTTGAGTCTAAGGGCACTTAGTCCTGATAGGTAAAAAGGGACCTCTGATTTGACTGTGCAATTCACCATTTGATATTTGGAGTTGGAACAAGGTGTAAATGTAATTACCCATGTCCGTTTCTTTTTCCAAATATTATCCAAGTTAACTACATGAATCTGCAGTACTGGAGGATTTAATTTCTAGTATGGTGATCAACAAGCTCAGAAAGCAATCTTACTGCAAAAGACGAGTGTAGTAGCAAGAATTCTGTTTTCAAGAAGCCATTCTTCATCTCCCTTAGCATAGGTCTGCCTTTTTGTAGGCAAACTAAATTACAGCAGAGCTCATCCTCTTGACTTTGTTGTGGGAACAAAGAAAGATAGCAGCTTTGGGAGGTTTTAATGCATGTTGCTGCCTTCCAAAACAGAACTGGAGTCCAGGCTTTGTTTTTACATTCATGGTGAGATTTTTGTAAATTCACCGGATTTACTTTATTCCTAAGGATATCGTATTATATGTTAGCGTTTGGGGCTTATTTGAAGCACTGTTCACAGTACGCTCTTGAATTCATAATTTCAGAGCTGAATCAGAAAGTAGTTATGTAGTCTTCATTTCAATAAAAACTGTGAAGGTTTACCACTACCACTTAGTAAACAACAGTTTTATTTTGGTAAAGGCAAAGGGACTTCCTTTAGTGTCATGTAATTGTTGACTAAAATTGTAATAACAGTTTAGATATTAGTGTTTTCATTCTGATTGCTTGTGGAAACATCTACTTTTTTATTTATAGACTTGGTTGGTTGTTTTTTGTGTCTCAGATTGCCAATGCTTGCTCTCTAGCTCTGACTGTAACAAAGCATCCCTATCTTAAGGTGCTGCAAACAGTCTGCATTTTATAAGTAGCATTTGGAATAAACCTGTGGAAAGGGCTGCTGGTTCATCTTCAGCATTGCTGGATTATCAGTTTTTCTGACTTAACCTGTTTTCCACATTATGAAGTTGATCACCAGTAACCATTTTTTTCGTGTTTCTGAACTGGTGGATACCAAAGCCAGTATGAGTTCTTTCTTTACACTGGATAAGCAAATTCTCTTCTCTTCTGCAGCCTGTTCCCCTTTGCTTCTTTTGTTTTTCTGCTGGTACTACAAGCTGGTTTTTTTTAAACATGGACACTTATGTACCAGAATTATTGCAGATTTGGAACTAGGATCTTTATTTAGTTAAATACTAAATATTGTCAGTAGAGTAGCCTTTTGATTCTACATTTGGTACGAAAATACACAGCTCGGCATTGCAGTTTGTGTCTCGAAGCATGCGAAAGTTTGGGGGTTTTTTTTCCACTGTTTCTTTTGGCAACTTTGATTTGCTTGTTACAAATACTGTGCAGTCTTAATTTGCTGCACTTGGAATGCAAGAAGAAAGTGACTTGGTAAAAGTATTTTGTTACATTTACATTCATCATTCTTCTGTATTACAGAAAGCAGCCCAGCAAGCCAACCACACGTGCAACTTCTAAAGGCAGCAGTCCAAGTTCAGTTTCTCCTAGAAAACGACAGAACCTAGCAGCAAAAAAAAGATCTCCAAGTGACACAAAAATTAATAAATCTCCTCCATTGACACAGTAAGTATTAAAGTTGAATCCACTTCTGTTATTTGTTTTGGAAACCACTACATTGATCCTTTCCTTATATGTAATATACTGCTTGAAAATCTGAACAGCAGTCTAGCTTTACTCTGTTCTGTTCTCTTGTGATGTGTAAAAGCTTTTAAAGGATTTTCTTCTGTTTACGTTCTTTCTTTTTCTTCCTTTCTTTAACATTTGGAAGACTAGAATTTTTTTCTTTCCGTCCTCAGAAACCTCTTGGGAGAATCTGAAAACGCTGTTACGCAGTATTTTAACTTGTGCTGTGATTCTTTCCTGGATGGGGGCAAGAGCAGCTGTAGTTCAGGTTAAAGCAACATATGATGACATGATTCTAATGCTTCAGAGATCTTTCTAAGATCAGCTGATAAAAGAGGAGAAACTCTGAGAGTCCTTATATCAAGTTTTGAAAATATTTCCCTTTTCCGCCTTCCCTGGTACACTTTTTAATTTTTGAAGTTGAGATCACAGTGTAAAAATCCTGAGGCAGTAATAAATGTGATGCACAGTTGCTATTCATCGTGTAGTTTACCTGTAAAATGGGTTATATGCCAAATACTTTTAGTTATCATCCACTCTGAAATGTGGCAGTGTCTTCAAACTGAACCTCAGGAACATGTGTATCATGCACTGATCAGCTGTTACAGTTCACCTCATGTAAATTACTTTGCGTGGTTATGGATGGCCAAGAGTTTAAGCCGCACTTAGAACTGGTTGCAGCTGAAATGTGGCGGGTTTACATATGGATGCTTAAATAAGGGTATGTGATGTCTGCCCTTTACTCCCTCTTGTGTATGCAAGACTTAAGCCACTAGTGCTATTCTTCTGTCTTTGTGAGACAGGGTACAAGGTAATGTAGTTCATTATATTCTGTTATAATCCACAAGTCTTTCCAAAAGAAAGAGGAGGAAGGAGGAGAGCTCTAGTCCCAAATTCTACATCTGGAGCACTCTCCAGCATAGAGAATTAGTATGCAGTATCCTGCTAAGATGTGATGGGAGTGTGCAAGGTCTCCCTCTAAACGCCCATCCTCTAAACAGGATTATGCCTGACTACCCTTTTTGTTTTACACATCCTACCATTGCCAAAATAATTATTAATATTGCTTTTCAGGTTAAAGGTGCAGTCTACCAAGCGTAAAAGGGAAGACAGCCCAACAGCGGTACGGAGAAAAGGACAGCAGAAAACAGAGGAGACACCAGTAAAGAAAGCAAAACGATAATCTCTGCCAGCTAGTACTGTTCATGGAAAAGTCAAAATAAAAAAACCATCTGTGCTTCTATTTTTTTTAAAGCAAAGGGATTTGCACGTGCTTGTTTCAGAGCTCTAAGTTAATCAATGCAGTACTTTTAAGTTACATTTTAAACAGCTTTATAAACTATTGTTTATACAGAATATTATGTACATTTATTTCAGATGAAAAATAAGTTTACTTTGTATCTGAATGAAGAACAAAGTAGTTATATATTTTATCACTGACTTGGAAAGTTGGGGTTTCCCAATGTGACATGCTAATGCAGATGCTTCCAACCCATGAGGCACACCTGGGCCTACTAATACACTTTGTATATAAACTTGTAAAAATAGGTTGTATTTTACTCTGTGTATGAATCTAATCAATGATGGACATTTTATTTATTATATGGAAAGCATTGGTCTGTAAACTTTAGTATATACCTTAGGTTTTTTTAATTATATATTTTACATTCTATGCAGATGTCAGTAGGAAACTTCCCCTCCGCTCCCCCAGGGCTGTCTAAAACCTGAAGTTCTCTAAAATATGCTCAGACAGTTGGTAAAGTATCTTTCTCGCATGCATTAAAGTAGTTTAGCATAGTGAAAGGAACTTGGCTCCTTTCTGTTCACATTTGTGACAAAGTGTAAAATTTAAAATGTAATCTTACTAGATTATATTTTCACTTGTGAATTTATTACCAACCTCAAGAAATAAATAGTATTAGGTTAGATTTATTCAGTCAGCCAACACTACCCTGAAATGAAACAGTTTTATTTTGCAACTAAACACCTGTTCTTTCAGTATTTGTCTTTTTCAACAGAGGGACCCATTGAAATCAAATGTTGCTTCTCCTAACTGTAGAGCTTCAGCATTTTATGTTACATTTTGTACACAGGTATTAAAAATAGAACCTGGTATTGTTGCCAGAATCTTTTTTTAATGTATATTAACTCTGGTAAGAGCAAATGTTCAAGTGAAGTTGTATATAAAGTTAAACTTTTCTTATGATCAAATGTGTCTCTTGTTATGATGTGATGAGTTGCCAAACAATCTGAGATTATTTTAAATGTTTTGTTGATATGCTGGTTTATAATTAAAAAGGATTTGGGGGTTTGGAATTTTACTTTTCTTTTTTTCTTTTTTTCTCTTTTTCTTTTGTGAGGTTTTTTTTTGAACTTGTTGTAAGGCAGATGTTTCAGTCAGATACTCTGCTTGGTTTCTTACTGAGATTTTTATATAAAAATTATAAAATGTTTGCCAAAAACCTGAGTTGCCATATTTTATTATCCTTTAATTGTATTGCTGTGGAACTTGTTTTTACAAATGTATTTGGTTGGAGCTGAGAGTTACTTGATTAGTGTCTTTAAATGTTTACAGGTGCTTGTATTTTAGCTATAT